AACCACTTTGATATATTTTTTACTAAATACAATTCTTTTAATATATATGTCGATGTCAGTACTGGACGTTTTATCGTCTCACCTACATTTACAAACATTTTTAAGATTTATTTGTGCTATCTCTGCTTCTATACCCTTATCTTGTCGCGCAACGGGATTTTTCCAAGAGAATTGCTACCACGGTGCAGCTATGAGATACGTAAGCCGAGATTTAATTTTGTTTTTTCCATAATTCAACAATTACTCGTCGAATTAGAAGGAAATATTGTGTGAGATTGGATTATTTGTATGTGGCTTTCAATAAATATGAAAGTGAAGATACGCGATAAAGACGATATCGTATACATAGTGGCGGGAGAATACAAGTAAATATCAGATCAGCTGATGAGTGACAACAGACAGACGGAGACCCATTGTTCTTGTTCTTGGTTATGGCGACAAGCAGTTCTGATGGATCTTGTACAGCACCTGCAGATTTTCAGCTTTCTTCCGAGCTGGAAGACGTTTCAAGCCGTTTAAGTGTGAATCTATTAAAGTGTCCGTTGTGCCATAATAGTCGTCGAATTTTTCACTGTCGACAGTGCATTCAAAATGGTGATTTTATTTATTCAACTTCTGTTTATGCTGAACGGTAAATATATATGTTTGAAATTTACGTGATTAATGCCAATTTGTTTTTGTATATTGGGATCTTCCCCAACATTTTGCGTTCTACGAACAATATCCTTGAGCATAAAATAAAATACATTCCTTATTTTTGAAATATATATACATATGTAAAAGATGATTTAACATAAAGATTGGCTGAACTAAAACTCGATTTTTTAAATAATGTATTAATAGTAAACTAATGGGGATCATACTTTGTTATAATCAATCTTTGGATAGATTTGCAGATAAACAATTGCGACTTCTACGGTTAAAAGCAGCAAGGGATCAATTAGAAGAAAAGTGTCTAAAGGCTCTCGAAAAACATAAACAGCGGGATAAATTGGTATTTTCAAATTATTTTCACATATTATAATTATGTTAACAGTGAAGATTAAATACAATTATTATAACTATTATTTTTTACATTTATAGATATGTGATATAAATACTTGTAAAGAAAGAATAAGGCTTCTTCAATCGCTAGTAAATGAAACCAGGCAAAGTATAAATGGAGGTATAGTTTATTTTAAATACAATTGCATAATGTTTAAAAAATTATGATATCAAATGAGTTCTAAAAATGTTACAGGTAATCAACGTTTGAATGTACTCAAAGATGTAAACTCTCAGTTAGCTCTTAGATTACCTATACATGAAGAACGAGTAGAAAAATTGCATCGGCATGTTACTGGTTTAAGAGCGGAACAAGAAGAACAAAAAGAAGCAGTACATAGAGAAAGACAACAATTAAAAAAAGTGATAAGAACTGCTATAAAACAATTGATTCAATATATTTTTCCATTGTCAAAAGTTCAACCTAACAGAAGGTAAAAACTCTCATTGTTAGTCACATTTTTTTATGGCACTAAGGGGTGTGGCTAAAAATAAAATATTGATTATTTCTAGTTTATCTAGCAGTGAAGAAGATAATAGTTCAGATATTGTAACTTGCGCATTGGCAGATGCATCGGGAACATCCTACGTTAGAGGCAGATGGATTAATGATACAGACAATTCTTCAGAAGTTCAACACTGTATAGTTGCCCCTACTTTGCCAGGAAATGGCAATTATAGTGCTTATTCTTTATGGGGTATATTATTTTGTTATTCAAATTAAACTGCATTAATAGATTAATATATAAATGTTAATTTGATGATTTAGTGGCAGCGAACAAAGATGGAGTACCAGGTGCAAATAAAGAAACTGCAATTCACAATCCAGCATACAATATCAGTGCTGCTTTAACTTATGCTACACAATTGGTTAATATTATTGCGTACTATGTTAATGTAAGACTACCATATAAACTTGCTTATGGGTATGTATAAAATATTTCATTTTTTAGGATGATATTTTTGCATTAAATTGCCTTTACATTTGTTCATGGTTCATTGCATATGTTTACAAACAAAAATTTTCAGTGAATTTTGTGGAAATGAAATGTCAGATCAAAAATTTGCAAGGAAAGTAGCAAGACTTAATAGCAATGTTTTACATTTATGTTTTACACAAAATACTAATATTGCTGTCTTACATCCAATGCATACCCTACAAAACTTGATGCACTTGCTCAATACTGAAATTAGTGATCTTGGAAGGTAAATACCAGTTACATTTATTCGGTATTAATAAATGGTAATTATTTACGTATTAATTTATACATTTACGTGTAGAATTGGTCCAATGGAAGTAGATCCAAATATTGTAGCACAACTGCAAAGTCAATTAGTTCGAGATTTAGAAAATAGCGACGATTCTGCTTCTGACGAAGAGGAAGATGCTTTTAATTGGGAATGGGAAGCTGTAAGTTTTTTTTTAACTTGTTACAGAATAATGTAAGACTTAACAGTTTTAGAAAAATTTCGTAATTTTCATTTTCCTAGGTTCCAAATGTTGCATGTCCTGAAATGCCTGTTCCAATCCCTGGTGCAATGATTAGTCAACAATCATCTAGTATGCAAGTAAATCAGAGTGTCGCAGGTGGTTTAGTTACAAGTGCTGCAGCAAGCATAGCCTCCTTTTGGCGTGGGTGGACGACTAATAAATAGACTGTTATTGTTAAATTAAACATCTTTTTATACAAAATGCAACTACATATGTAAGAATATATGTAGCAGAAGACACAAATATTGATAATGCTTCAATACAGGCGAAACATTGCGTCAGAAGAGTTTAAACAAATAATGTACTGTACATATATTTCTAGATTAGTTGATTCATATGTGACACGCGAAATAGTTTGATTCCGTTACTAAAGATTTTGTGAGATCTGATAACTAGTTTATTTTAAAACATTTATGTAATATATTAATTTGTGTTGTTATTTATTTACTTGTAATATAATTCCGAATATTTTATAATACACTCGTGATAACGATTATAACCTTTTGGTACAAATTTTTCAGTGTACAAGCGAATGTTTAATACACGATTATATATGCTACACTTTCATTGTTTACTTGTAAGTATGATTTATTAGTAAGATGTATGTGAGTTTAAAATGACTGCCTTTTTTACGCTCACTGCACTTTGTGTAATTATGTGTTCGTTATCGTACACATAAATGTTTATTCACATCAGTGACATCATCTTTGTCATTATAATGTTATTGTCTACACATTTTCAAGCTACTTGAAAGTTTAACATAACATTCTAAACATCGTATAGTTTTGTTTTTCCATGCAATCAGACAAGTCAAATAACAAACTTACTACTTAAACACAATGTGCGTGGTATAAGAAACAATGTTTTAAAAATATTATTATTTTTGCATAAGCATGACCATACCATGTTTTATGTATATTTTCGATTACACATTGTAGAAATAAGTCTGTTACACACTTCATACCTGACAATATACAACGTGAATGTAAAAGGAGGTTGTATTCTGTTAATCACTTTGAATTATATTAAATTAAAATAAGAATAATATCTATGACATCAAAATGAATTTTGTATTTGGAACGTTGTTAAAATCATGTTATATAGACTCAATGATAGATAAAAAGAATAGTGTGTATATTACTATTAGAGCACGAATCCATTAGTATAATATACTCGCACCATCAAAATAATTATTAAAAACAAGATATATGCAATTTTTATAGAAAGTGAAATATTTCTAATCTCATATTTTATTTAATTAATTTTACAATAATTTAAAATGTTCATTATGTATTAGGTAAAGTGTACATTACTTGCACATATTGCATAAAAAAACTTATCTTTTCTTGCACTTAACAACCATTAATTCTCAATTTAATAAAATCATAAATGATAAAATAAACATTGCAATTCGGCAGTGATTATAAATAATACAATTATTGCGACAACTTACTAACAAATATAATAATATGTTTTAATTGTGTAACATTCTGTGAATTTAAAATATGATAAACAAAATTTATAAAATTAAACTAATTTTTTATAGTTATTAAGCTTAGAATACGATGAAACGTAAAAGTATCGTATATACAAATAAGTAACATTATATTTAATTAGAA